GGTGTTGCTGCCTTGCCTAGGGCAGCACCAAAGTTAAATACACCGCTGATTGTAGCCCATCACAGGAGTGAGCTTGGAGCAGTGGCTACTTTACAACGCCTTTACTCTGGAACGCATCAAAAACGCATGCAAACACCATTGAACACACTGAAAGCTCATTTTAGGCTAAAAAAAACAAATATGCATCAAAAAACATATGTATGCGTGTGCAGAAATGCGAGCAGATCTCCTCTGCATTTTGTGTGAACAAGCCCTCAAAGATGATTTGAGGATCTCCAGCTGAGTGATACACAAATAAGGTAAATTTTTGATAATAGTTAAGGTACTGGAATGCATTTTTCAGATTTAACTCCTGAGTTTTAGTGTCACTTTAAAGCCATATTAAAAGGAGTATCATCTGCTCCACTAACAACTGAAAGATTTAGCAAACACATCCACTCCACGGATATGTAGAACACTATTAACAGCAAGCTAGTCAAGCGGTCCCCCTATCTATCTGGTGAGAACCCTCTCCCCAGAGCTCACAATGCAGGCAATGACACAAGATCCCTTCACCACCGCCATTCTCTCCCCCTCCCTTCCTGCGTACACAGTCTCTCCCATCCCCCTCCCTTCCTGTGCATTGGAAATCTCGCGTGATCAGTACACCCAAAATGGTTACAATGTAACCCAGCTGTGAGATCCGACTTTGCATCCTGTAAGACTTCACCAGCAATGGTAGGTGACAGACGACTGATGGGTGCTCCCAGTGTCGTTCCCCTGTGATCCTCTGCTTAGCGGCACACTGTCTACTGATCCCAGTCTAGACTTGTGTTTATCCGCATTACACTTATCACGTGTCCATGGGATGCTATGTTTATATTGTTAGGGGGGGGGTCCCAGCATAACGAGCGTTAGTAACGAGCTCACCCCACCTACTGTTTTGTTTCCTATCTGTCCCTGTATAAGGAAGTTCTCTTTCCACTGGCAGAGCAAGGGTTAAGGCGAGCGTGCTAGCGTCCGTGCGCGAGCTTTTGATTGGCTGTCCACTGGGGACGTGCGCTGGCTTCATGGCGGAGGGCGTGTCCGCGTGGTGCGAGTTAACTATTGCGGAGCCGGTTGGAAGTATGAAAAGACTATAGCCTGCAAGGACTCCATGATTGTAGTGGTGTGCAGGTGTCTTACATGGCTAAACAGGGGCATTTATGAATACTGGAGCAGTTGCCCTTAGTAACCAATCAGCTCCTGTCTACAGTTTTTTCAGTTAAACTTTGAAAATGAAAGAAGCTGATTGGTTGCCATGGGCAACTGCTGCAAATTCTGTCTGCTCTAGTTGTGATCAATTTGCCCAGAGTGATTTCTGTGAATGCACCAAGTGAAGCTGTTCAGTCTGATGTATGATTGTCTCACTTCATCTAATTTCTGTATGCAGCTTATTTTAGTCTATGCTCATACCAGTGAGAAATAAGGCGCTTCGGCCAGCGCAACACAAAAGGAATGTCGTTATTTTGGCCTTTTATGACCTTGCTTTTCTAGATCTCCAGTAAAATGACACATCCTGCCTAAAGCTGGCCGTACACTGGTAGATTCATATGAAAAATCTTGTCAAAACGTTTGATACTGCTATCGGAGACTTGACGAATGTCGTTGAAAACTTCATTTGGTTTTAACGTTCGATTTTGGAATGAACAGTTTCTTGAACAAAACCACATTCACTGTTAGAATTTCAATCATTCGCAAATAAAATTGCATCCTGCTCTCCATTAACGGTTGAGTCATGTTGTATGATTGACTTGTGTGTGTAAATTTCAGCTTCAGTTATGGAGGTCTGTAAACAGCATTTTTTCAAAAGGTTGTAAAGTGATACATGGAAACGTGAAGGCAATGAAAACTTTGCCCGCTGCCTAAAAAAAAATATATGTTTGTTTTTTTTTGTATGCAAGGTTATGCAAAGCCAGTATACGTTTGCTTTAAGTCACAACGTACATAACAATAGTATAAATGATTTCTCCAAAATGATACCAAATGTTTTCATACATTTTTACTATGGATTGACTTTTGGTTTAAGGATAAACAAGAAGATACACCCGCAGACACACGAAGCAAGGCAAAAAATGAAGACGCTGGTCCCTCTACATCACAGACTGTCAGAGGCGTCAAAATAGAGTCCAAAAGACCAAGAGAAGGAGGCAAAAGGAGGAACCTCCAAGGCTCAAGTATGTATGGAGAATTTACTATGTGCCTGGGTGCAAACACAGATACACAGGCTACAGAATACTGTATATACACAGAATGTACTATGTGCCTGTCTGCAAACGCAGATACACAGGCTGCAGAATACTGTATATATACGGAATTTACTAAGAAGGCTGGTTTGCTATGAAATGTTCACTCCAGAGCTAGAACCAGCTAAACTTTGGTGTAACTGGAATAAAATATGGAATATTACATAACAGGACATTGATGGCAGTGAAATGGCCAATTTATAGTGCATCTATACCCCAAAACAAACTTTTAATATATTGCAGCTTAACAGTCCTTAGATGTAGTGGCTGCATTAGTTGTTTTTTTTTTCAGGCCGAGAACATTTTCCACAAGTACAGAAAATACCTATAGATCATACTAGAATTGAAAAGCCCATGTCACATTGTGTGAGCTTAAAAGAAAGCCAAAAAAAACCTCTTTGTTGTGTGTGAACTATAAGTCCCATCAGCCCCATATAACTTTGACGAACAAGGGCTGACATGACAACAATAGCTCCTTCCATAGAGACATTAACACACAAAAATCCTACACAGGAAAACTGAATTCAGGTTGCAGTGTATAGGTAAACAGCCTTACCGTCATAACGCAATATAAAACAAAAAGACTCAACACTTGCCAAACAATCCCACAAAGGTATTCCTAATTCTGATACACATACCGGGTTCGCTCACCTCTCGATCCTGTCACGGCTCTCTGCCATGACAGGGGGAGGGGCTGGATTCCCCTCTCCCCGCTCCGATCTGCCAGCGCTGACTGGAGGAACGGACGGGGGAGGGGCGGGTACAGCTGGCTCTGCCTCTAGATAGGCAGAGCCAGCTGTCACTCACGCAGCTGGGCGGATCTCGACGTCCATGTCGGGATCCGCTTCGGCTGCGGAGTCTCAGTATACCGTGAGCTGTAGCTCGCGGTATACTGAGCTTAGGGTAATGGGAGGACGCTAGTTTGTGTCCTCCCGTTACCCTAAGGAGAACTATGGGGAAAAACACTGACCCCATAGTTCTCCTTTAAGGGAGAACTGTTAGGTGACTGAATATCACCCATACTAATAGATCGAGCCGACCTGTGACAATGAAACTGTCACACGTCGGCTCAATAGATCGGGAAGTGAGGGAACACATACCGTCGCTCGCTCACTTCTCAATCATGTCCCTGCAGAGAGCCGTGAGTGTCACTCACGGCTCCCTGCAGGGATTACCCCCTCAACTCTCCGATCCTCCATCGCTGACTGGAGGAACGGATGGGGGAGGGGGCGGGTACAGCTGGCTCTGCCTCTAGATAGGCAGAGCCAGCTGTCACTCAGGCAGCTGGGTTGATCTCGATAGTAATGTCGAGATCCGTCCCAGCTGCAACGGTATCAGTATTGTTTGCTATAGTTTGCTATATACTGAGCTTTGGGTCACGGGAGGACGCTAGTCTATGTCGTCCCGTGACCCCGAGGAGAACTATGGGGAAAAACACTTACCACATAGTTCTCTTTTAAGTTCCGTTCAGCAGGGGATCTGTGCACAGGTCTCCTGCTGATTGGAGCAGTTCTGGAGGGATGTCATCGGTGTGACATGTAAGACCAGCAGTTCTTCCATGCTCCTGGGTCTCTAGAATACCTGCATTTCTGTGGTCCTTGTTGATCACATGTTCATGTTACTCCTTTTTATAGATGCACTCAGGTAAATATAGCCACCTAGGGACAGGAAGTGATGGGTGGATCCCATATATTACCAGGGAAAAAACATTTCAAAAAATAAACCTTATGCAGCCACCACACCTAAAAACTAGTAAGCTACAGTATATTATTTTTTTCTTTTGGGTTGAGCTACAGATGGAGAATGGATACCGATATCTGCTTTCCACTGGACACGGCAGTATTCCTCCACACCACAGTCATTCATAAAATACAGGCAGTGGTGTGGAGTGGCCTGCAGTGCACTATAGAGTTATGTTTGCTTAATGCACCGGCCGCCCCCCCGGTTGTTACGCCACTGGTGTGTGGGCACCTTAAGTTGTTCCAACAGTGGACAAAAGCAGATGCTGTTGATAGAAAATCAATACAACATTTATTTGTTTAGTTTTTTATTGCCTTCTGTTCTTGTACTTTGGATCACACCATGTACATATCTTGTATGTTTTCTAGCAGATTTCTTCTGACAGTGCAAAAAAACCCACTGTCTGTAAATGTAAAACTGAGCTTGTAAAACTACTTGTAGTTATGTCTTATAAAATGTATAGCTGCACTCTTTAATAATTGATCCAATTAATTTCTATGTTGCCTCCTATCTCCTGGGCAGAAAGGGGTCATCGATGTGCTACCTATGGCTGTAATCGATCATTTCTCAGCATGCAAGAACTTATCAACCATGTGTCTGTCCACTATAAACCCACTGAGTCTATGCAAGGTAAGGAGACTGCTATCTTTTTATATCTGGTTATATAGCATGCATATTTTTCAGTATGGAGACAGCCATTTTGTGGAGGGAAGTAATATTTAACCAGCATTTATTTGTATACAACCTATCAAAGTGACCATTGAATGACAATAGGTTGCATTCAAATAAATGCTGGTTCTGCCTATAAATAACTGCACCTTATCTCTGGTTTTTAACAGTCGGGTGCGTACGATAAAATCAACAGGCAGCCAGGCAATTTGTATTTTCAAATTGAGGTCAAAAATAGCAGTCTTCATATTTCTGTTAGTACATGTGTCCCTCAAAAAAAATGTATGTTAGCCAAGGGGCAGGCAACCTTGGCACTCCAGCTTTTGCAGAACTACAAGTCCCATGAGGCACCGCAAGACTTTGACAGCCACAGGCATAATGGGACATAACATGCATTGGATGGTAATCTCCTTGTGGTTTAGAGATCTTAAATTATTTGCTAAGCAGCAATTCCATTTGGGGATATCTAGGGTGTAGGCTACCATTGCAGGGAAGTTGTTTATCATTTACACAACATTTTATGGAATACACAGAACCATTGACATCAGTTGTTGCTCCAGGTAAGCTTCTAATGTCCTTGTTGTGGTCATATAACAACTTATACTAGGGCCAGTTTGGCCAGTTAAGCTACAAGTTTAAGTGAAATATATGCAAGGATTGTAACAGTGTGTTTAATTTTGACTATATATTCATTTGCAGATAAAAAGTTCATATGCTCAATGAATGACTGTGGTGAGTCACTGGACAGTATGCAAGAACTTATGACCCATCTCAAGGTCCATTACAAGCCAAATCGCTATTTTAAGTAAGTTTGTTTAATGAAAATGTCATAAAGCAATTGGGGGCTTATTATTGGGATACAGTAAAGGGCTTACATACACTTTATCAGTCCTTCGTGGAACTATAGCAGTATGACAATTAGTTAAATCGGTACAGAAGGATGGTATATTCTGGATCCCCTTTAGCTGGATGCACTAAATTATATTCTTCCCATTATAATATGCAATGGAAACACATTGGGGAATTTAGAGTCTGTGATTACCAAGTAAAAGGACTATGATTACAAACGAGATACAATGTAGTCTCTGTTTCCACTGGCTGAATAAACTGTAGTAGTTTGAAACCTGAAGCAAATGAACACAGTACCTGTGAACCATCTCTAATGGATTCAGCGAGTTGCAAAGCTCAATTTTATATTCTGAGTGCCCCTTTACAAGGTAATTTGTAAATGCCAAGCTGGGGTGGATCACAAATCCGGCTGTAGGTGCCATGATCACAGATTCATGCTTTACCGTGGCCGGTAGTTCAGCAACAACATCTACTGGGAGGTCTGGTGTATGCGTGTTAATTCCTGTTGGCGTCTCCATCAACCGCTTTCAGGACTCAATGGTTTGCTTCCTTAAGATTCCCTTCCACATCCTATATTAGGAACTTTTCAGCTGCCACACCCAATAGAGCAGAATTTAGACCCTGTTGTAACACAAACATATTTTCTTAGAAACATTCTTTACACAAGGCCAATGCTGCTTTTCAGATTGTCATTCACTAATATGCTGATTATGTAGATGATGAAAGCAGTGCTACTCTATTTTAATATGGTTTATTTTCTTATTATATTTATATAGTGCGTGTATGATAAAACCAAGCTCTATACCTCTTAATAGCTCCAGTGTATATACAAATATGATAATCAATGTTTTTCTAAACAAATAACTCCATCAAAAAGTCCTTATAAGAATTAACTCCCAATGTCCAAGATAGGTCACGGCAATAAAACAATGACCACAGTCTTCAGTGCTTCCTCCACCAATACCCTTGTGACCCAGAAAAACCTCCAAGAGCATGATTGTCCCTATTGCATAGAAGGTCAATAAGTCCTTGTTGTACGACCACAGCAAGAGTTTGTGCTACCTTAAGTCCCTCAAGACTTTATACCGACTTCCAGAAAAAAGAATTAGTGTAATAAGAGCTTTCCACTGTGTAGTATGGCCAAAGTATGGTCTCTCTCTAAATCTCCCCCTTCACAAGACCAGTTTCAGTCCTGCAAATTTTATAAGCTCATTTTTTGTTCACTTTTCATCTTTTCTATTTTTTTGCTTGGTTCCCTTCTACCTCCTTTTGTACAATATTTCACTCTTCCCCTCATCTCTCATTCTGAAAGAGCTCCTCCCTTCTGCAGCTGCTTTTCTCTGCTCAGCAGAATCCAATTCTTCCTGTCTGCAACGTCAAGCGCCCCCCCCAGCAGTGATCTGTCACATGTGCTTCATATTGAGCACCACCCTAGCACCCCCAGTCAAATTGTTGAAAAAAGCATGTGTGCTCCATCAAGGGTGATGCATGGTAGTACAAATGTCAGCAAGGCACAACAGAATACCAAAGAGCCTGGAAATTTGCAGCATCTGTTAGGCAACCAGCTTACCACCACATTTTATTAACCTCTTGATGTAAAGAAATCTATGTATCTTTGCAATAAATCACAGGAAAGAATAATTGGTAGGGTCCAGAGTTAGTATTAGGATTTGCAAAATGTGTTTCAGCCTTACTGTGAGACCACATTTTCTTTCATGACAAGGCTTTAAATGTGTGCCCATATTTATTATTTTATTTTCTTGTTGAGGATTACATCCAAAACTGTATAATTTAAGGGTGAACAGAGTAAAATCAGAAGAAATCTGAAAATCCAGAATGATAATAATATGTATATAGAATGTATCCAGCATACAGGCCAAGTGCATGGCTATATAATATTGAAACACTATTGTAACAGCTTTCATGCTTTTTCCTTTTATAGGTGTGAAAACTGTATGCTACCATTTCGTACACACCGTTCTCTGTTTAAGCACCTCCATGTGTGTTCTGACAACCCCTCACGCTCAGTCTCTGACAGCATTACACACCTGCCTCCAACAGCTGATTCCAAGCCAGCACCAGCAATGGCTACAGTGAGCCGTCACACTAGTGTTATCCAGTGCATCAAGAAAGACACTGAGCTCTTGGCGGAGGAGGATCCAACAAAATCCATTGAAGCAGCTTCAGCTTCCTCTGTCATTGGTGGTCGCCTACCGTCAGTGAGCAAACTGGCTTCTGAGACTTCTAACTCTTTTCCTGCCCTTAGCCCTTCCTTGTATACAAGTCGTCTCCCAGGTCCACAGAGATCATCTGTTTCTGGATCCTGTCTTTCTTACCTCCACCAGTCGCCATACTCCTTACCTCAGGGTGCAGTCTCACAGAAACTTAGGCCATTCCTTGGGAATCAAGGACTGCCTGTCTCCAACGCCATGTGGAAAAAGAATCAAGGTCAGGTAGTGGGTTATAATAGCTGCAATATATTTTTATTTAAGTTTGTGTTCCATTACTCACATGCACTAATGAATAAAACCAATTGAGTAATGCACTTTGCTACTTATTTGGTAAAAATGAGTTCACATAATTGGACACCTAATATAAAACCTTGGTTGCATCTACTTTGCCTGGTTGATACTGCATCTTTAAAGGATAAGTATCAAACTAAGTTAATTTTTGTGAGTTTTACTGTCAATTTTTTTTTGGGAAATAAATAGTTTGTAACATAAAATAATAACATGTACAATACAAAAATAGAGTCAAGTACAACAACAGAATCTAATCAGTGCCTCCTCCTTGTTTATCATCTGGCAGTAACATTAAGGCATCAGAGTCATTACTTCCCAATAACACAGTCTTCTGTGTTATTGGGAAGTATTAAACACTTTGCAATAGCCTCCAATAAATCTCACAGTAATGGCTCAACAGTTCGGCTCTGATCATATCTGGTTGGCTAATGCGAATATACATTCCATTGGAGGAGAAAACAATTAGAGGGAAAGAACAAAAGAATAAGAGGTGAAAAGTAGAGAAAGAAGAACGTAGGCTCCAGGTTCCCGAACTCCACAAACGTCAAGTATCATATATGGGCAGGGTGTTGTTTAAGAAGTGATCAAGATAACTGTATAGCTCAGCCAGCTTCAAATTGAGCATGTCTGTCCTGCCAAATACTATACAACTTCTCGTGTGTCATAATCCAATTGAGCTTAGACGTTACAGTAGAGAATGGGACTGTCAAAGCTTTCCAGGTCCAGGCAATGTAGATCTTGGCTGCTAAGAAGAAAAAGGATAGAAGTTTGCCCTGCGCTTTAGATACGCCTGGAATCGGTTTGTTTAATAACAAGTATTGCGGTTACCGCAGAATACGAACACTGAGAATTCTAAAGAGCAAGACAAAAAATCTATTCCAGAAAGGGTGCACTTTGGGGCAATGCCACCAAATATGAAGCATGGTTCCTTGATGATCACAGCCTCTATAGCAAATGTTTCTGAGTTTTAAAGAACATTCAGATTTTTTTGGTTCTGGATGTATGCATGAATGGTCTGTTTGAAAATCCAAGACTTAACAAAATATATTTTTGATTACATTAAGTGTTGGGTGATCTAAAGCAGGTTCAGACAATAAATACTATCCTTGTTTCACTCCTTACCGAAATGTCCCTTGTAGTGGGGGGTGCTCGCAGTGACTGCGGATGGCACCGCAAATATCAGCAGAATTGTAGAAATGTCACCAGCACACCTTTAGGGCTTCATTCATTGAAGTGTTGTGTCATATAAACAAGCACTTTCGGGACCACACAGGGTCCCTTCATCAGGCTTTAGCATTGACGTCAATCAGTTTGCAAAGGCGTGTTATCCTAGTCTGTGCTGTTTATTCAGTCTAGTCCTAGGGAAGAGCCATCAAAGTCCGAGAACAACAATGCTTATCATTAACCTAGCAGTATCTGTCTTGGCTGGGGCAGAGATCAGGGTTAGGTTTTCTGGGAAGATATACCTTCTCTAGGATTCAATAGTAGGAGTCTATAGCTTCATATAGACTTAGAGGACTGTCCTATAAAATTAATCTGACCCCTCTCGGAGCAAACTCTTAGCATGCTGCCCCAGAGCACTCTGGTAATTGTAACTTCATCTGAGCCAATTTACTAGTACTTTAAATGGAGAGGGGAGAGTGTGACTTCAACTTCACTACATGCTCTGGGCAAGCAGTGAGCCAATCATGTGAGCAGAAGGGTGGAATTTCTGAGGAACTATATACTGAGTACTGTTTCTATATAAGGAGCAATGATGTTGTTGTTGTTGTAGTTGTTGACAGTCAGTATCTGATCTGCAGCAATTGGGGGCTGGTCATTTGTTGAAGGTGACCAAACACGTATGCAGTCATTGTACATCCGAATCAATCTGTGGATGGAAGGAAGAAAATATCATGGCCAATATCAATGGTATTTTAGTGGCCAGTAAAATTATTTAGACTGATCATGCATTGCTAGCTCTCACTAATAACAAGATGATAGATTTACTATTTGTTCTCCTCAAAATCACTGCAACTCCTGACTGCACCACACATTCTATATTGCTATGGAGAGAAAGGAATGGTTGTTTGTTGGTTACAAATATTTTCCAATTTGCTGAAAAAATATACATGTGCCCTAACACTTCAATTTTTACTAGCTGCCACTAAACTATCTGCTTCAATTTCTCTTATTGCTTTTGAAAGTCGACCTACAGCTGCCCATTTTGAACATCCGGTACTGCCCATTTTTGAACATCCGGTACTGCCCATTTTTTTCCTTCTTGATAAAAACTCCAGTGACGTAGACATTTTGAGCACTAATATGTTTTTTTTTTACATTTATTTGGGAGCTAAAGCTATAGTAAACTATTATGCATATAAATACATTTTAGGAGAAAAGAAATAGCCTTTAGATCTCATGAAAGTGGTGGAACTTAAATTCTCCTCCCAGTATATGCTGTATATCCGGTGTCTGATGCTTCTAATTTTATTTGTATTATTTTCCTCATAATAATCTTTGCTGTGTAGTTTAATCTTGGTCGCCCAATCTCCATTTGATCTGCACATGCATTCATTTATTTGTGGCATAAAACTTATCGTGTGTATCACACTTCTGTTTTAGGACAGACAAGCAACAGCCGTATTGTTTGGGAACACACCAGAGGTAGCTACAAGTGTATGCAATGCAGCTTTTCCACTGCCACAAGGAACCAGATAAATAAACACATTGAGGAAGTACATAAAAATCCTGCTCCAAGCAGACCCCGGGAAGATATAGGTGGGTAAATATTAATTAAATGCCATAGTTGTTGCATTGGTATAAACTAGTGTCTGTTTAGCAGTGCAAAGAGCAGAGAGGATGTTCCATGTGTGAAATAAGCCCATTTATACAGATATCATGAGCTTAGCAAATGATGAATGTCCTGTGGTTTACCGTACTTCGCTTATTACACTGTATCTGGAATTGGGCTTTAGTTTCAATTTGCCTTTGTAATATACTACAGCCAGGTTTCATGGAGCTTCTCATCTGTTAAGTGGGTCTGCTCCTAAAACCTTTGTTGTGTAACTTCCTTTCTCTTTTCTTGATGAGTCACCTATGAGATCTGAGCTTTCAAGGCAGGATTGAATACTGACCAAAGGGACTGGGGTGTACTGGTGCACTGCAGCTACTGTATGTCTGGATGAAAAACTGGAGACCTGAGCAGAAAGGTTGTGTTAGCTGTATGCATATCAAGACTTAATCTTCAGGTTTAAATGCAGTGCATCTTTAAAGCCCAGCTGAAGTCACAGAAATAGATATTCAGTCACATAGAAATTGCAATAACAGCCTCCATTTTCATAGTCTTATTTTTTTGCTCTCCTGTTTTGATTTGTGTCTAAATGTGACTGCATAATCCAGCAGGCACCACAGTTTGACCAGGTCAGACATGTCTTCCTTTTTTTCCACTACAAATGTGGGTATGGCCATTATTTGTTGATGCCAGCAGTTTGTTGGCCAAGTATATTTGTGCTGGCCAAGTGTACCCCTCTTATCCACAAAAATAAGTTAAAGAGTTCAAAATTGACACAAATGGGTTGATTTATAACCCTATAAAAATTTCTATGCTCCAGAGTGCCATCTAGTGGCTGTTGTGCCATGCGAAAAGCATCCACCTGTTATCAATCGGCCCCATATGATTTACACTTACACTCATAGGGCCAGGAAACATTCTAATTAAACATTGAATAGAGAATCACCAGCACTCACTGAGATCAGTATGTGAATTTCTTGTTTTGTGTTTTTTTAAATACATCACGTGCATCATCCAAGCCAATGTTTTAGCGCCACGCAGGGTCTCTTCTTCAGGGTGACATAGTGATGTCACAGTGTCATCCTGAAGAAGGGACCCTGCATGGCCCCGAAACGTTGGCTTTGATAATGCACGTGACGTATTTTCAATAAAAGGATTAAGAAATTCACAGTCTGATCTGTGTAAGTGATGGTGATTCTCTGTTCGATACCTTGAGATAACACGGCACCATTCGTGTCATCACTGCAAGCACCACAAACTATAACCTCAAGGTTACAATGCTGTATGGAGTTCAGGTGGTTTCACTATTTCACTGGAAAGGTGACCTTATATTTTCTTGTCCTATAATTTTAGCAAAGACTTTCTTCTCATTTGAATAGGGTTGGAGGTATGAAATTTTCCAAAAACCGAGCAGTAATGTGAAGTACCTTTTTTAAAAATGGAGTTAGAGTGGCAAGCCACCTGCACCTCCTATACTGTAATTATAAATGAACTACATTATAAGACATGATCCACATTAACCCCCAAAAAATCCAATTGTTAAACAGACCACCAGCTAAAATAACTGACCACTTTTCTCATTCTTAATCATAGGTTTTGACATGGATCTTCTCCCTTTCCACTCCAAGCTGCCGGGAGAAATGGAACCCAGCCTTTTACCGCAGGTCTGACAGAAGAGTTATCCAAGAACCTCCCTTGTCTTAGCCACCAGTTTCTTGGTGTTCTGCTTTCACAAAACAATACTTTGAAATGGGCTACTTTAAATAGTAAAACTGGTGGACTTCTAATGAAGAAATGTGGACTTAAAGTGAATACAGAAGTTACAGTGCAACATTACACTTTTAGATGTAAATAATTAGCTACTTCTTCAATACGGAATATTCTAAGAAATATTTGGTGTTTTTCCACAACTATTTTGTAGTCTTGCTTGCTTATTCTGAAGCCATCTTATTTCTACTGCAACACACACACAGCACACTAATGAAACAAATCTTTATAACCTCAGGTTTTCCATTCACTGGAATTTAAAAATAATTATTAAAGTTGGGTGTGTGCTGGCTTCTTAATATACTGTCACCAATGCAAAACTTGATTCTGCTCCATAATATTTTGGAAATCCATGTCACAAATGCTAAGGTGCTACATCGGTATAAGGGTACACCCTACAGTCCATCTCCTCTGTTAGTTAAAACCTGACCCGCCAGGGGTTTTTTACATTATGTGGACAGCTTTACATTATGTTTACAGCTTTTAAAATTCCAGCTGCGAAATAATATGCAACATTCAGTGTTTTTCTTCACTACATAATTCCAACTGAATACAAAATATGAAGCTCCTGGGACTTGTAAAACTGCCATATACACGAGAAAATGCACTGAGGCTAAAGGAGCTGATAACAAATTACAGGCAGTCCCCGACTTACGTACAACCCGTACTTACGAACGGAGGTCCGAGACTGCAGCGTTCCACTAGCAACGGTGTTTGTGCCGACGATCGCAGACGAGTAGTGGGTCTGGATTGTAGTACTGTACTTCCTGCAGGAAGTTGTTAGCGAGTCCCCTGCCTCTTCATCCGGGTCTGGTACTGAACAGGAAGTTGGCTTTGACTGTCGTTACCCCTGTCATAACCTTGTATGTACAGTATGTACACTTTTATTTGTCTACTTGTTTGCCTGTAACAATTCCAAAAAACAAATCTGATAACAACGGCCTCTATTCCTTACTCTTGCTATTAGACCTCTCTGCTGCTTTTGACACTGTTGACCACCCACTGCTCCTCAAAAAACTCCACTCGCTTGGCCTACAAGACTCTGCTCTCTCATGGTTCTCCTCCTACTTATCTATGCGCTCCTTTAGTGTCACTTACAATTCTAACTTCTCCCCTCCTCTTCCTCTTTCTGTAGGGGTCCCCCAAGGCTCTGTCCTTGGACCCCTCCTCTTCTCTATCTACACCTCCTCCCTTGGTCAACTAATAGCATCACATGGCTTCCAATACCATCTCTATGCCGATGACACTCAAATGTATCTCTCCCCCTCAGTGCTTATGCTATCCAAAACAAAACAAAAAATGTTTTGGCTGGAGTTACACCTAAAAAATGTACCTGTTCCAACTTGCATACAAATTCAACTTAAGAACGAACCTACAGTGCCTATCTTGTTTGTAACCCGAGGACTGCCTGTAATGGGATGGAGACTACAAAAAAACTTTGTTATTTTAGACCCACACCCGCTGTAAGACACTCTATATTATCACTGAGGTGCCATGGCGCGTTGTATTTGGCAGCCCATTTAAATTATTGGGCTGTAAATTACATTAATGCAGATTTTTTTTTTTTTTTTGGGCATCACAACACACGTGCCTTGGGGTGCCATTCATAATGCATAACTAGTGTGTTGCCACACAAGTGATACCGCAACGCGGTACTGTGTGAGTAGACTCTCAAGTTAAAAGCTAAGTGGGTCTTAAAGCCAAATTGAACATTTGGTTTAACCCTTTTTCTGCCAGCGCTGTATCCCTTATGGCGCTGGCTTTAGGCCCCTGTAAACAGACCGCCGGGACTCTGTTCACCTGTGTAAAGCCGACTGTTGGCTTTAATCTGGAAGCGATTCTGGCAGCTGAGCTCCGCCAGATCGCTTCCACATGACAGTAAAGTGGTGTCCCCGTTTTGCTTCCCGAGCTCCACTGCCCCTCCTGTGGGCCCGGGACTGGCACCACGGGTGTCAGCGGAAAGAGACCAGCGAACATCTGTTCGTTGATTTCCCTGCTGAATGAAGCCAGAAGCGAATGCATTACTTTTGGCTCCTTAGCCGTCATTCCCCAGCTAAAGAAGCCGTGGAAGAAGCTATTCAAGCCCATTCTGCACTCTGAAGGGGTCTAATAGAACCTGTCACCACAAACGTGCTTGTGAGCCCCCCTAAGTGATAGCAATGAATTAAAAAAAAAAAAAAGTTTTTTCAAAAGTAAACTTAAATAAAACATTCAAAAATTGCACAAAGAAAAAGTTAAATTCCCCTGCCCCCCACAAACACGTGCCTACTAACGTAAACACGCATTGAGGGCGCCTACGTATTGAGCTACACATGTTGGAAATTGCTGCGTGCGCCAGAGTGTGAGGACTAATTCTGGTTAATGCTTTTACACAGTTACCTCTAAACCCGATGACCTATACAGGCTTTTAAATCATCGCCTATGGACAATTTGGGGTACCCTATTTTGTCGCTGCTTCACGGACGCAATCTTTAGGTTTGTCATGTTGGGTATCTATTTACTCGGTACAACCTCATCTTTTATATTTTACAAAAAATTTGGTATTTTGCTTTTTATAAAGAGTTGTGCTAATATCATGTGACGTAAACATTTGAAACTGCTGCCATTTTATTTTACAGGGTCTGTGCTTTCAGGAAATGTATATATCTCACCAGGGTTTTAAGTAATTTTCAAGCCTAAAAGGTGAATCATAACATGTGCAAAAACTGCCTTGGCAGCAAAAGGGTTAAATCAGCTAAAAGCATTCCAGGTGCAAAAAAAAAAAAGCATCGTACAGTTTGTTTTAATTTTTTTTTTAAATCTACAGCCTGCGTAGAAAATCCTGTCCCCTGCAGGGAAGAAACTTTCTGTATGGAAACAGTGGTCTTTCTGTAGAAGTCTGACATGCCTCCTGCTGAGCTCTGATCAGCGGGAAGGAAGCATGAGCTTTGCTGATTGCAAAGCTATTGGCCTAGGTCAGCATAGGGCATGACCTCTGCAGAGAGATCACTGGTTCCATACAGAAATCAAGGTTACTTCTCTGCAGCATGATGGTGGGGGACAGGATTTTCTACTGCTTTCTAAAGAGAACAAACCGTAAGATTTTGCACGCCTGTTCTTTTGATGCACCTGGAATGTATTTACCTGATTAAACTGAAAAGTGAGCTTAAATTTAATTTTTTTAGAATTGTCAGAACACAGTTTAGTTGAACACGTGTCTGGAGACTTCAGTGCCAAGGCCACTATTTCTCACAGCTTGTTTGGCTCTAGCTTGAAACAGTGGGAAATATTAGAAGCTGGAGCTAGATTTGCCCCTTGCCCAGCTATAATTCAAAAAGAGTGTTGACAGGACTTAGCATTTATCTTCATTCGCTACAGTAGCCTGAAAAATGTATAATGTATTTAAAACACATAATTATGTAGCTTCAATTTAATATTTTTATTTTAAACTTTGGAATGTTTTTAAAAAAACAGTTCAGTGTTTGTCGCAGCCCAATTCTGAAAACATTTCATTGTGTAGCATGTGAATTTTGATCACACACTATAGTAAACGCAGCTGAGTGGTCACTAAAGGCAGCACCATTTTACTTTGTTCTACTTTTCAAAAGTCAAGCCGATTCACACTATAATACAGAACTGCCTAGCAACAAAGTCCTGCATTTATTTGAATCATGCATTTACTCCAAATACCCTAAAGACTAAAACGGTTATTCACAAAGCTAGCCGAAGGATCAGCCGTAGCTGCGGCTGATCCTTCGGCCGCCGGAGCCCTTCGGTTCAGTAGAACCGAAGGGCTGCTGTATTGGCCGGCCGAAAGCCCAGTTGTTATTCATTGGCCGGGACCTGCTAGAAGACTCTAGCAGGTCCCGGCCAATAGGAAACAGTTGGGACAAGCCTGAAGTGAATAGCCGAACAGCGTTTGGCTCACTTCGGATGGGTTATTTACTGGGCTGCCTCCAGCAGCTTTGTGAAATAACCCTCTAAGTTTTCTTTTCTGACCATGTATCATGTCATACTCATATTCATAGTGTAACATAAAACATGTCACCGCGGCAGAGGGACATGTAGCTCCTTCCTTCTTTCTCCCGTCCATGTTACGGAATGTCCATACTGAGGTACAAACGTGAACAGATGGAGAATCTGCATTAGCGGCTGCAATGCTTTACTGGCTCCATTGCATTTTTTCAAAAAAGGTGGAATTTCCATTTAAATGGTTACTAACAGCAGGCATTGTTCCCACCCTGCAGAATATTTGAAGTGCATATAGGCAAGTGTTAGTGACTAAAGAACCTCTGTGTTTAACAGTGAGATGTCTAGTGACTAATGTATACAGAGAGCTTAGGAGCTTTGTGAAGGTGGGCACTGTAACTAATGCTTTTTTGGAGTCCAAACCCCACTAGGTGGCTTCAGTTTGCAGGAACTTCAGCTAATGGAATGCTTAATTACAATCGGTTTGGATATGGAACAGTAGCAATGTTTATAATTGATCAATGATAATTGCTATAGTTCACATAACCGCTATGTTCTTCCTGTACTGTTCAATGAGGATATAACATGCCATTTTATTTTTGTAGTCTACAGAGCTCCAGGGTGCTGCAATAATCCTGGCCCAGCATCTATACATAAAACTTGGGTTGTTTGGAATTATTGTCACATAGTTCCAAAATGTTATTAACCTTGAGTGTGGAAGGGGATAATAAACTGAAAAAATATACAGCATTACATGTGGAGGGGACTTTTGGGGACTGAAATAACCTCCAGTCCAGATGGGTGTATTTCCTGTTTCAGGGAAGAGGGTTTATTTAGAAGGGAATAGTGATGTAAAATATTACATTTTGTTTTCACACTTTTGTATATAATTTTACTAGAGGAAACTTTGAAAATATCAGAAAAGTGAATCCTGTTGTTTTCCCTAAATACTGTATCTGTATGTCTAATACTCTTAACCTTAAAATGCATCCCAAATATG